TGAGTGAGTGAGTGAGTGAGTGAGTGAGTGAGTGAGTGAGTGAGTGATAATCAGTTGTTTCACACTCGACTGTGAACTGCTCCAGGGCCTGTTGGAGGTCACTGTTTGACAAGACCAACAGCAAACTGCAGCAATGCTATTTGTTGCTTCCTAAAGTGCAGATCATTTACAATAAAAAAGATAAATGAAGCATCATCTACCTTCTCCTGTTCTTCAAAACTGAAGCCAAAATGTCCATTATTTGGGGGTACTGCCAAGAAAATTTGGAGCCAGAGTCTGGACATTAAGGATATGCCACTGTACTCTCAATATGACCGCTCCCCCCCAACATGCTGTTACATTGTCAGTCAGTTTCACATGACATTGTTCTTTAAACATCAAATAATGCTGTAACAATACTGTAAATAAACCATCAAATAATAATGTAAGTGGACTGTACTTATATAGCACCTTTCTATCTTACCAAGACACTCAACGCTCTTTACACTCCAATCTGTGCCTCATTTACCCATTCATACAGCGCTCTACTAGATCTCTACAAAGAATGATCAGCACTTTAGATCACATTCATAGTGATGGGACACACATCGGAGGCAACGAGGGGTTTAGTGTCTTGCCCAAGGACACTTCTGCATGTGACTGCTGGTGGAATCGAACCCCCAACTCCCCTGCTACAGTGAATAATTGATTAAAGTTATATATATATATATATATATATATATATATATATATAAATATATATATATATATATATGTAGAAATGCATATTTGAACACACAATTCAAAGGCAAGAACTACGCGGATCAACAAAGTAATCACCTGAATGAAATTATTTAAAGTGGGGTTTTAAAGTCCCAAAAATATCCTATTAGTTTATATGAAGGGGCAGGAGTTGGAAATCTGTACTGCAGACAACCTGTTGAGGGCGCTCAAACCTTGTGGCATCAAACTCGGCTTCCAGTTCTGTCTCTAGTTAGAAATATTAATGGTGCGGACCCTTCACTCTTTGGATGCATCTAGAAACCCTGTCCATAACATTTGTACCCAAACCAGTGACAAAGGGCAATCATGACAGAGTTCACCACTTGCTCGAAACAAAGCTGATTTATTACCAGCAATGCAAACCACTTTCTGCATCAAAGGACCATTTGTAAGGGACAAATAATAATAATAATACATGGAGAGATGGAAAGAGTCAGACAGTCAGAAAGTCTTCTGTCCAGGGGAGAATTTGTCAAAAAGAAATCTGGAATTCAGGAGGAGAAATAATAAAACTGGACATTAATCTTTTTATTTGTTTCTTTGTTTTCATTTCAGATGTCAAACCCAAAAAAGCAATCATAGAAGTCAAACGAGTGTCTGCTTCAGTCCTCAAGGAACATCTTAATGTTACAAAAGCTGGTAAAACTATGAGAAGTGGATCTAGTGTTTTCATTTTTGTATGTTCACGTCTCACTTTGGCCTGCTGATTCTCCAAGTATTGCTACCGTGTTTATTTTATAGCAAATATATCATGTCTGTCATTTTAATTCCAGTCTAAGTAGCAGTCTTTTTTCCTACATAAAAATAACAGTCAAACCTCAGATTCAGGAGGAGTAGCGAGGTTTGATTTTGTTTGTGGAACAAGTCTAAAACCTTGTAATAGCTTGTGAAGTATTACTTCCTTATAAACATTTAATTAACTGGCCAATAACATTTCTTTGTTTTGTTTTTTTACAGATGCCAAACCTAAAAAGCGAATCATAGATGTGAAGCGGGTGTCTGCTTCAGACCTAAAGAAAGAACATCGTAATGTGACAAAACCTGGTGAGACCATCCATCCATCCATCCATCCATCCATCCATCCATCCATCCATCCA